TTTAGGTAGATGTTACTAATTACAATGGATATTGATAGAATTGAAGGAAATTATTTTAGATCTACCATTTATGCTACATTTCATGTTTTTTATTGGGTATTTAGCTCAGTTCTACTTTAAGAGTGTTTCTTCCAGATAGGAAAAGTCTAGTCATAGATCACAACATAATGTTAAAAACTGTATTTTAAATGCCTTAAAAGTTATTTCTTTTAACAATGAACAGATGCACTCTCATAGTTGGTGACAACAGACTTCCTTGTGTTATACAATGCAATGTCTCCAGAGTCCCGAATGGACATTTATAAGGTCAACATTTTCTTGATTGGCTACTGAAAAGTTACTAGAAGCCATATATCTATTGATTCTTCAGGTGCGAAATGGAGATGTCTATAAATCTTAGGTTATTAGGTACTCCCTAGTGATCCTTAGGGTTGCATGCATTAAATAGAAATGCTTTTTGGGTTATTTATCAAAAAAGCTGAGTTGTCTAAATCAAGGTGTCCTAACTTCAACCCTACCTCCCCCATCAGCTTGCTATCGATATAACATATCATACTAGAGAAAATGTATCAGTCTACTGCTCAATTTGAGATGCTAGAAAACTGCAATGAATAGATTGAGAATACAGTACATTTTTATTATTTGGGTGTACAATAAACCTTAAAGCTGAACTCTAGGCAAATATAAAAGACACAAATTTAATGCAGGTTTGTGATTATTAATACGTCACTTAAAAGATCATTTTACTATCATGGAGAAAAATATACAAATTAAAAAAAAATAATATAACTTATTCAATTGCTACGATAACCAAATTGTGATTTAATATTAATAAAAATTGCCTCTTCTTTACAATCTACACCTGCGGTGATTTTCTGTAAAAGTCAGAGCAATATGGCAGAAAAAAGTACTGTACAATCTATGGATTGGAGGACAATACTGCAACAAAAACCTTTTTCTCTTTCTATAGAAAATATATTTTTATTGTTATCTTGATTAGAGGTTAGCTTTAAATTGAAAAAAAAAATCCCACCTAAACAGCAGAAACACATGTATAATAATTGCAGTGATCAGTTCATTAGAGGAAAAAAATAAAAAAAATATACTAGACTCTCTGCACTTTTAAGCACATTTTCGCATGTATGAAAATAATGAGTGTGCCACACATATTGGGTATTATTATTATTATACAGTATTTACTGCATTTTCCGGCATATAAGATGACTGGGCGTATAAGACGACCCCCTACTTTTCCTGTTAAAATATAGGGTTTGGGCTATACTCACTGTATAAGACTACCCTCTTCCAATGCACACCAAATAAAAATTAAAAAACATCAGATTTGATTTCAATATAGTATGGTATTTCAGTATGGTATTCCAATGATAGGGTGCTATTCCTCCCACTGACACCAATGATGGGGCACGATTCCTCGCTCTGACACCAATGATGGGGCACTATTCCTCCCACTGACACCAATGATGGGACACTATTCCTCCCACTGACACCAATGATGGTGCCCCATCATTAGTGTCAGTGTGTGAGGAATAGTGTCCCATCATTAGTGTCAGTGGGAGGAATAGTACTCCATCAGTGTCAGTGGGAGAAATAGTGCCCCATCATTGGTGTCAGTGGGAGGAATAGTGTCCCATCATTGGTGTCAGTGGGAGGAATAGTGCCCCATCATTGGTGTCAGTGGGAGGAATAGTACCCCATCATTGGTGTCAGAGCGAGGAATTGTGCCCCATCATTGGTGTCAGAGCGACGATTCGTGCCCCATCATTGGTGTCAGTGGGAAGAATTGTGCCCTCATCATTGGTATCAGTGGCAGGAATAGTGCCCCATCATTGGTATCAGTGGGTGGAATAGTGCCCCATCATTAGTATCAGTGGGGGGAATAGTGCCCCATCTTTGGTGTCAGTGGGAGGAATAGTACCCCATCATTGGTGTCAGTTGGGGAAGGAATAGTGTTTTATCATTGGTGTCAGTGGGGGGTGGAATAGTGCCCCATCGTTGGTGTCAGTGGGGGGGGAGGAATAGTGCCCCATCATTGGTGTCAGTGGGGAGGAGGAATAGTGCCCCATCGTTGGTGTCAGTGGGGGGGAGGAATAGTGCCCCATCGTTGGTGTCAGTGGGAGGAATAATGCCCCATCATTAGTATCAGTGACACCAATGATGGGGCACTATTCCTCCCACTGACACCAATGACACTTGCTGACCCCTGTTCCAGTATGGTGCTGCTGCAGCCAGCATATGTGGTTGCAGCAGCACCTCTGCACGGCACACTTACCGGCTGCTCCCTCACTCGATTTTCGCGGGGCCGCTCGGCTCCGCCTCCTCGCCGGTGATGATTGGCTGCCTGCCTGCATGCCTTTCCTGAGCTACAGTTCTGGCAGCCAATCACCGGTGGCTTAATCGAACTTTGAGCGGCCGAACTGAATGAAGGAGCAGCCGCGCTTCCTGGACTGGATCGTCGTGGGACTGGGACCGGAGCCAGGTAAGAAACAGCGGCCCCCTGCCCACCCCTTTACTTAGTGTCCCTTCCGTTGGAAGGGGGGCGGCAGCAGCACCGTGCCGCCCCCCCTAAAAAGTGCCGCCCTGACACCAAGTGTCAGCATGCCGTATTTATACCGGCGTATAAGACGACCCCTGACTTTTGAGAAGATTTTCAAGGGTTAAAAAGTTGTTTTATATGCCAGAAAATACGGTATAAAGCGCCAACAGTTCGCTCAGCGCTGTACATTACAATGGGAGACAATACACGAGACAGTACAATAACAATACACGAGGGGTTCGAGGGTATTGCAGCATTCACTCTTATCTCTAGGCTGAAAAGTTTGGGTATCAGAGCCTTTTCAATTTTATGTACTTGGAATGTGCAATTTTGGGGCTGGACATGTTTGCCATCCTAATTACTCAACACAATCTCACCTTTTATTTTTTCACCAAAATGGTATTATGTTATTGTATTGGGTATTGTAGTGTGTTTGTATGCATTAAATTAATTGGATCGTATTTTTTACTAAAAGTAAAGCTTTGGTACACAGTAACACAATTATCATGTGACATAAAGATTACACCTACCACCATTTAATTCTACAGGGCATCTGCTTTCAAAAATATATAATATTTGGAGGGTTTTAAGTAATTTTTTTGGCCTATGTGTATTTTAACATGTGTGTAAAAAAAATGAAAAAAGACCTCTGGTAACAAAGGGTTAAAGTGCTTTTACTGCCTATTTAGAATATGTAAATACTTTAGTGTGCATGATCAGGGCTCAGATTCACTGTAAAAGATCTATCTGCCAGTGTGTACAGTAACTCACAAAAAATTCAAGAGGTAGTGCCGGCAACTGCAGTCCATGCAACATTTAAAATCTATGCAGCTATTGTACATATACACACACTCACACACACGATGATCGTCACCTCCACTATGATCGTCTCCATCGCCATAGTGCAGTGTTTTCCTTATTCTTTTTTTTATATATAAATGGAAACAATTACCTTGCAGAGAAAATAACCTAATAAAATTTGTTTTTGGCCCCTCTTTGCACAGTTTGAATGTACATGCAGTTTCACATAATGAACACATCTACTTTTTTTTTTTTTTTAAATAAATACACCCCCAGTGTTATCATTGGAAATTAGCTACCTTATTTTGGATAAACCCAATTGTCACTAATGCTTAATCTCTGAACCTGATTAATGGATTTCGACTAGATGAATATAGTGCATCTCTCAAAATTATATTGCCACCTAAATATTGTCTATGCTTTTGTCATATGTCCATTGGTCTCTAATTCCAATGGCATTGTGTAACATTGATCCTGCAATATCTTTGAAAATCAAAGCAGTAAAAATAATTCTTGCTAACATTTTCATAGTAACGTGCCATTCATTTCTCTAAAGATTTTGTAAGAGGCACATTAGTGCAGCCACAGAAACTGATTTTTGATTCAAGTCATAAGCATGCTGTTTCATAGTAAATTTGTGTATAAACCATTAATCCTGTAAGTGCCTTCAAACTATAGTCAAAGAATTAAGAATTAAGACAAAAATAAACTATGTATTTAGATTTATTAAAGCAAATAAACAAAATATGATTCCATCAAATTTTTTATCATTCTGATTTTTTTTGTATAAAGCAAAAATTATGGTTGTGAATATTTCATGTTCACAACCATAACAGGCCGCCCAGTCAAATACATAACTATTCTTTTATTCAAAGTCTTTGCTTTCCTTTCTTTTTTATTACTTACCTTAAATGTTCTTACCAGAAATATTGCTAGATATTACTTAAAGTGGTTGTAAAGGCTGATGGTTTTTTTCACCTTCATGCAGTCTAAAGAAAAAAACATTGAGCCTTTAGAACCACTTTAGAATGTAACTAAAGACAAAACTTTGTTTTAGTTTTGGGCAGAATGGAAAGGGATTAGAACACCCATCAGTTTTTATTGCTGTCTGTACCAGTTAGGGAGATTCACTTTCTCTATTTGTCCTCTTTACTGTTATCATCAAAAGTGAAAATAAAAGAAAGTCCCAAATTTTGAACTGAGTTCAGAACACTAAAAGAGGGGAAATTTTCCAATGGAGAACACTAGTTCTGGTGACCCTGATAACACACCAGGATTCCTTCACTTTGGAGGGATTCCTCTCACTTCCTGTTCTGGCTATGGGCAAAGGGAAATCTCCCCAATGGGACACAGATGGCTTTAAAAAAAACTAGCAGGGGTTATAACTCTCCCTTACTCTATCCAAAATGAAAAAAAAAAAGTTTTGCCTTTAATTACACTTTAACGTATTTGAAAAAAACACTGTTTCCAAAGTGATTTAATTTTGTGCTTTCATTGTTTAACCACCTCCCAGCCCGCCATATAGTAATATGATGGACACAAGGTGGTTCTCTCGTTCTGGGAGGACATCATACGATGTCCTCCCATTCTAACCGCGCATGTGCAGCTCCCGGAGCATGCAGCGTGGCGATCGCGGTGCGCTGTGTCCCTCGGAGACAGCGGATCACCGATCCACGGAAAGAGCCGAAGATGTCGGCGCAGTCATGTGATCAGCTGTGTCCAATCACAGCTGATCACATATAAACAGGGAAAAGGGCATTTCTCTCCTCAAGAGCTGTCAGGCTGACAGCTCGAGAGGAGAGGAGAGTCGGTAATCGGCATTCCTCGGAGGGGATATGTACACTGATCATCAGAGCACTGATGATCAGTGTGCCCAGATGATCAGTGTAGCCCCAGTAGTGCCACCTATCAGTGTCCATCAGTGCCAGCTGTCAGTGCTCGTCAGTGCCACATGCCAGTTCCCATCAGTGCCACATCAATGCCACATATCAGTGCCTACCAGTGCACATCAATGCCACATATTAGTGCCCATCTGAGCTGCCTTTCATTGTCACTCATCAGTGCCAGTCAGTGCCACCTATCAATGCCAATCAGTGCCACCTATCAGTGCCGCCTATCAGTGCCAGTCAGTGCTGCCTATCAGTGTGTATCAGTGCCGCCTATCAGTGCCCATCAGTTCCGCCTATCAGTGCCAGTCAGTGCCGCCTAACAGTGCCAGCCAGTGCCACCTAACAGTGCCAGTCACTGACGCCTATCAGTGCCATATATCAGTGCTGCCTTTCAGTGCCCATCAGTGATACCTGTCAATGCCCATCAGTGCCACCTACCAGTGCCTCCTCATCAGTGCCCATCAGTGCCCCCTATCAGTGTCCATCAGTGCCCATCACTGCAGCCTCATTAGCGCACATTAGTGAAGGAGAAAAATCACTTATTTACAAAATTTTATAGCAAAAACTAAGAAACATTTTTTTTCAAAATTTTCAGTGGTTTTTGGTTTGTTTAAGAAAACAATAAAAAACCCAGAGTTGATTAAATACCATCAAATAAAGCTCTATCTGTCACAAAAAATGATAAAAGTTTCATATGGGTACAGTGTTGCATGACCGCGCAATTGTCATTCAAAGTGCAACAACGCTGAAAGCTGGAAATTGGCCTGGGCAGGAAGGGGGTATAAGTGCCCTGTAGGCTAGGGGTTAAGCAGTTTTTTTTTCATTTTAATGTTTCATAAAAACAATAAAAGTTAAAAATCAACATAGTAGTAGATTAATGGCCTTACATCTCAGTATTTTTTCAAACACCTCTTCCAAAATCATCCTTTAGTGTAATGAATCATGTCACAGTTTCCTCTATGAGCAAAGCTATTATCCTGCCTAGGCACCAGAGAGTTTTCCCTGCTTGTTGTCTTCTTGGGTACTGGTCCCCTTACTGCCCCAATTAGTTCTACTGCCTCTGGAGCCTATGAGAGAGGACCCAACAACTGGAAAAGTCACCTTCACCCATAGGAGGTGTCCACATCATGCAGGCAAGGATGGGGACACTTAAAGAAGAATGTCAGGAAGAAAACAGAAGAACAGAGAAGGGTTATCACATTAACATGACTTCAGGTAAGTAAAGTGGGTAATTAGTTATTTTTTCATACCAGCAGTTAGTTAGCAGGGGGTGGGATGGAGGGCTGCTAATGTTGGGCTTTAAACTTCACCCCCAAGATGTAGATGCAGTGTATGAAGTATCATGTGCATATTTTGCTTTTAATATCAACTTTAAAAGTGGCATTTTTCTCAAAAAGTGGACCCATGTTTGTTACTCATGAATTTTTCCTTCACCATTGAAGGTGTTATATTTTCTTGCAACAATGTTGCAGGTAAAACTTGTTTCATAAATTGTAAAATGTATAGCAATTATGTTCCTTTGAGCACTCTTTTCTCAAATTGGATGGCCCTATTGCTGGTCTTAGGCTACTTTCTCACTAATCAGCGGCAAAAACTCATATGTTTTTTTCCGTGTTTGTGGTTAGTTTTTTACAAGACATGTGAATAAAGAATGCACCAAAAACACACTGGGGTGCGGTTTGTTTGCATTTTTGCTGCAGTTTTGATTTATTTCAATGGGGAGGTACGTATTTGGTGAGTTTTTTTTTAAAGCACCAAACCTGCACCAAAAACGCAGCAAGCAGGATTTTAAAAAATACACCTGATCTGCAAGGGATCAGTGTGAAGAGTTCCATAGAAATACATGGTCACACATTTTTCTTCTGCTTTTTTTTAATGCAAAAGGGGAAGAAAAATGGATCAGTGTGAAAGTAGCTTTAGTTACCTCTTTATAGATTGGATGAAGTTGCTTGCAGCATAGGACTGTGTGGTTTAGGCACCAGCATTTTCAGGGACCAATAGAAAAATTCTGTTAAATCAAATCTCAAGATTTGTGAACTAAAGGGAGGATAATTACCTTCCCAACTCTCCCTCGCTGGCATCCCGAGTTTTCCGTGAATTATGTGCGTAAGAAATATTCTATTTGTTGGCAGGTAACCTGAGTGGTCAATAAAGAATCATTAATGCGCCAGTAAAAGGGGCACTGTACCAACCCAGAGAGGGCAAGGAGGAGTACCAGGGGATCATGGTCCAACCAGGGCGAGGACGATCGCAGCGTCAGACCCCAGCCCTTCTCACCAAACTTGTGACCAAAGGACTAGCCAATCTAAAACTGGGCTGTCATGTGTGTAACAATGCCACGCCCAGCTGCACCCTGCACAAAGATTTTCCAGCTAATGGACCACAATCTGTGTACTTGCAGCCTGGGAGTGAATGTTACTGGGTCAGGTTATTTACGCAATTACATACATATAAGGTGCAGCGCTGAAATAACATAAATAAAAACAGCATATTATAGCATAAAATGAAGTGCAAATATCAGATCACACTGAGGTGAACTTGAGTGAATAAAAGTCCCAAGATAAATGAGGGCCCAACGTGGGGATCCAGTAGATCCTAATGAGTGCGTGGGGAAGGGTTCCAGTGTACCACACAGTGAATCTAGAGTAAAAAATGCGCACTCACCAGAAGTGCGTCTAAAGTACGCATGTGAAATTTATCCTGTTACATCAGGTAGCGGTCATCTACTGCCAAGGTAAGGTCAGGATCATACACCTTCCAATCGTAACTCAGGGTAGGTACTCCAAGAGTCTCAAACGTGTCACCATCTGGGGTCCCTTTTGAATAGGTTCTGCAAGTGGGGACTCTCATTGAAGAGAGCCCAATAAGGGACACCACATAGCGTGATACCGTATACACTGAGTTTATTATATCCGCAGGTTATATCAGATGGTTTCTGTGCAGAGTTGCACCAGATTTCGTACTCTCCAGTTTTAGTAAATAACCCCCAAAGTGCCTCCATACATTGGTAGTCAGAGGAGAAGTGCCCACTTACATTGGTAATCATTGGCATGCCCCCGTATACTAGTGGACAAGAGGAGAAAGGACCTCTTTGATTGGTAATCAGGGTAGTGCCCTCAATATTCATGATCCATGGAGAAGGGACTTCCTAAATAGGTATATAGGTAGTTAGTGGAGACAGGTCTTTTTATTTAGATGTAAAGCTGGTCAGTGGAGAAGGGAATTTTAAATTGGTGGTCAATGGGAAGATTGTCCAGCTACAGAACTAGCTAAAAAGATTATTGGTGTCAGTGGTTAGTTGTTGGAGGGGCAGAGACTAATCATTGTACAAGGAACCAATAGCAAACTCTGAAGGAACACTAGTTGATGTCTAGTAGAAGCAGTCATGCCTATGGCAATGTAAACAGTGGGACCTTGATATCTTACAAGAAATTTCCTAGAAACTGGATCACTTTATATTACTACACAAGAAAATGTTTGTAAAAAAAAAAAATAATTATTTGCTAGTGTTGTTTGTAAATGTGGACACTTCAGGTTCTCATTGAATTAATTTATTAAACAAAATTAATTAAAATCTCTTACAACTACCATGGGTTTTCTGTTGGCTTGCAAATTAATACCATGTTGTATCAGTGGTACATCTTTTGCATTATTTTAGTGTGCTATAAGCTTCAGTAGTTTGGTAAATACCATATCCAGTATTATACACAACTTGGTACATAAAATAAATATTTATACATTTTTCTGTAATTTGTTCAGGAAATGAAGATCATCAGTAAGAGCAGCAATAACGTGCTGCTATTCCTAAATGTGTCATCAGGTATCAAGTTGGTGCATTCATCTCTGTCAAGTGTTTGACGTTTTTCATCTTCATAGTCACAGTAGAATGCAAGGAAAATAGGTCAATTTTTGACACAGATTTGTCATTTATGCAAACCATTCTTGCTGCCAACACTCACTTTCAGTTTACAAATATAGCCAAACCTTTTTTTGGAAAGAGTGGGAAAGGGATAGCAACTCTGTCAAGTTTTTATTGCATGTAATGCATCAAACCATACCGTAACAACCTCATGTTACCCTTTTTAGAAAGGAGATGCTTGACTAAGCAGTGAAATCCAAGCACAGAGCAAAAGCAGCACTCCAACAATATTCCTGAATGACTGTTTACTGTCCCATATCAGCAACCCCCCCAAAAAACAAAACACTAACATTTCAAAAGTACTCTCTCTTTCTCAAGGTGACAGACAGAGCGCTGATTTTCGTCTACATTTAAATTTGTGTTGCTGTCTGTGATCTTCTGTGGAGATTTTCCCTTTTTAATTGTCTTAGAGGCCATTATTACTGAGACTGAAACTGAGAGAAGATCCAACATTTTGAAAGAAAAATAGAGGAGGTGTATTCAAATAAGAAGGCTTGTTGTAATGACAACTGTCTAAAAGAGGGTTTTCCTAAATTTGGAAAAATTTCTTCTTACTTCCTGTAATGTCTAGGGGACAGGAAGTAAAGGGAAATCTCCACAATGGGACACAGGACACAACAAAAAAACATTCCTGAGCCCAGGTTCACATATGTATGGGCAGCTTTTGACAGTGTGATTTCAGCCCCTTTTTTGTGCATCTGAATTCAGCGGTTCAGGTGCAATTCAGGAGCAAATTGTCAAAGTGCATGACACTGGAAATCGCACCAGAAACCAGGCTCAAAATTGTACCAGACTATTTTTGAAAACATGCTGGAGCTGGCCTGCACATACACTATATTGCCAAACGTATTGGGACGCCTGCCTTTACATGCACCTGAACTTTAATAGCATCCCGGTCTTATTCCGTAGGATTCAGTATTAAGTTGGCTCGCCATTTGCAGCTAACACAGCTTCAACTCTTCTGGGAAGGCTGTCCACATGGTTTAGGAGTGTGTCTATGGGAATGTTTGACCATTCTTCCAAAAGCGCATTTGTGAGGTTAGGCACTGATGTTGGACGAGACGGCCTGGCTCACAGTCTCTGCTATAATTCATACAAAAAGTGTTCTATCAGGTTGAGGTCAGGACTCTGTGCAGGCCAGTCAAGTTCACTCACTCATTCATGTGTTTATGGACCTTGCTTTGTGCACTGGTGCACAATCATGTTGGAACAGGAAGGGACCATCCCCAAACTGTTCCAACAAAGTTGGGAGCATGAAATTGTCTGAAATTATTTGGTATGGTGATGCCCAGGGGTGGACTGA